AACAATGTTATTCTTCCAATGTTGACACACGTGACCATGAAACTAAAAATAAAGATTGACAATGCTTACACAAGTTTAAAAATAAATACGGAGAAAAATCAATAAAAGTAGAATTATCAAAAATATGGAACAGAGTAAATGATAAGTCGTAATGTCTTCTACTTTACCCTCATTTAAATATCCTTTAAAATCACTTCTCCTTTCCGCATAACCTAGTCTCACCGAATATTATCTATGTCAAATTTTGTACATGTTTAATATACATCAAGAGATCCTTGATAAACAATATGCTATTGCTTTAACTATGTAGATACTACAATGTAGAAATGGTGTTTCCTGCTCAGTATAAGCTCTGCACCATATGCCTACTTTGTTATTTTACTTGGAAATATAGTATGGAAATAATAGATATAACATAACTGCCCTCCCCCCTCTTTCCCATTTTTCTGATCACTGGGCCTCCTCCCATATGAATGAAGCCACTAAACACTGAGCGTTGCGAATTTAGTAAATTGTCATTTCTGTAGATTGGGAACATCAATATTACATTCTGAAACTTTCCAAAAAGCTATGTATAACATATCTAAGGAGGCCTTTAAACCTTAATAGCATCTAGGCCTATATCACCAGCATTTTTGCAAATTGATGCACCATAGTGGCCCTTGATCCACATTATAGCCATTTTTGAGAGCTTTAGCACTCTTCTAGCCTTTTGTGTACCCATTACCTGTTCTATAAATGCAATTTTTTACAGGGTCCATATATTCTCCCCTTATACTTTTGGACGTGGCAATACTTCTTCATTCTGGCATTTCCTGGATAAATAAGGGGACCGGAGTGTGCTTCAGTTTTGCAGGAATTTCAATTGCCATTAGATAGACTGTGTATAATTGTCAAATGGTTAATTTGAGAGCGCATATTATTTTGCAGGCACCAATAGATTTCATTCACTTCCAACATGGCTCAGTTCACCTCCTCTTGCAGTTTGATCATTTTGCCAAAGTAAAAATTCAGGATCCAGTTTTATTTGTTGGTTTGTTAGAAAAATATAATTTCTTGTTCATAACATATAACATACAACATCCCTGTTCTGCAAATTTTTTTGCAAAAATTCCTCTGAAGTTTACCATTATTTTACACAAATGAAAGGTAATTCAGATCAGATTTCAAATATTATATGATTTTTCTGATTCCAGGTACTCAGAAAAAAGAATGTAATGCTTTAAGTAAGTCTGAATTTTACCTCTCCTGGTAAATTATTGGAAGCAATTGGTATGATGTACTCTGTTAAGATATTCTTGCAATGTGTCTCCAAGCTCTGGTATTGATCATCTTGTTTACCAAATTGGGTTGGTTCATGATGACTTCGGGCACCATCCACATCCAAGTCCAAAGTACCTGATTGCATAAGTGAAATAACATCTTAAAGATGATTGGTACAGTGTTTACTTAATTTGAATCTCATTTGTGAAATCCTTTTTCATAATCTCATAGAAAGATAGTGAGTAGTCGATACCTACATACAGCATTTTCAATAGGGACTATGAAAAGTGAGTCCCGGGGATCCAGTGTTATAAAAAATTGGGGTCCCCCGACAAAAAGTGGGTCCCAATTGAAAAAAGAGAAACACTTAGTAAACATGTATTCTTTATGTTGTAGTGCTTTATCATGTTTTTATTGAATGTATTTAGACCCTGGAGTCAGATGGTATGCTTTCTTGCGAAAGCTATGTGGATTTTGATATAATAAGTTTCAAAATCTAACATGGCTCGAAGTGAGTAATCCTATGCAGTGGTCTGAATCAGTGTGCCTTGTAAGGCTTGAATTCTGAAAGTCTTTGCACCCACTCGGGCTGGTGAAAATGTTCCTCTTCCCAGCCCCATAAACTGCACCGCATCCATTGGCCTGCAACATAATGTGGTGTGTGTTCTCCTATTCTGGGAGGTACCTCCTAACTTTAGGAGGGTGTGGCATGATAATATATTTAACTCGTGACTTTATGATGCAATTTAATAATCAGATCTATTCCTACTACAAATTTTTTTTAAAATTGCGCGCCAAGACCATTCGCACATGCGCAAAGAATGATGCTTCATTCCCATCAATATATTTTTCTAAATATTTCGAAGGCTACCTAGCCTTCGAAACAATGTTGTTTTACGCCTCTGGATGTTAATTTGATTGAAAAGGACAGTGCTCATGCATTTTCTGGATCACAAATGGCTCGAAAATGTTGTTTGATATCCGAATTGCTAAGTGAATGACAGGAAGGGTAATGCTCTCATAGAACCAACAAGAGATGGTAGCGACATCTAAATATGAAAAATAGTTTAAAATGTTTAACATGTGCGCATGCTCGGTATTTATTGCCCGTTAAATCCCACTTGGGTAGCAACACAATAGAATTTGCTGTGGTTTATTTTTAAGAATGTATGGTTTTATCAAAAGGAAAGTGCATTATTTTTCTATTGTTTTTAAAGAATGTACACTTTGCAAGCTATCAAAAACAAGTGAGACATAAATGACCATTGACAGTTTTTGATAGTTTTCATTCCCTAAAAACAATATACAAAATACATGTACCCTTCTCTTGTTACTGTGCATTCTTTAGAATAAAACAATTTATCAATTTTTGTTGCTATCTACATCATTGATCTTATCTTACTTACAAATATTCTGCTGTATTCAAATTCAATGTTCTGGACTGGACAGTCACCTGCAGTGCACTGAAGCTAGACTAATTATAGCCCACTCAGTCACTTACATCAACTCACACTCACGAGGTCAATGCAACCAACTCTTTTTGTTGTTACAATTAATTGGCTATATAACAACAAATTTTAACCAATAAGAGCCAGGGTCATTGTGAGCCTGGTTGAAGTTTGCAAAATTCACAGTTTGAATAGTCAATACAAAAGAAATCACATTTTTCCGGATTTAAGACCTTTTAACTGTAATATAATAGACCCTTTGCCTGTGATAAGAGTCTGTGTGATTTAAGTAAGATAAAGCATTCAAATTCGATTTGATAAGAAATAATAATCTCAGGCCTTCGGCCTTCGGTGTATTATTTCTTATAAAACCTCATTCTTATGCTTTATCTAGTACATAAAATTGATCAATATTTGACACATGCGCAATAAGTCGAAAAATAAGAGCGAACCGGAATCAACCATACCGGAAGTAAAATTAAAAAATTTATTTCTGATATGTTTTCGTCAAATTAAGGAAGTTCTATCAAGATAAATAACACGTGTTTGCAACCTATGGTGAGTAATCTGCATCCATGACTATTTATTTTCATCCTCATAATGGGAGGACGGCTTTGTTAAAAACCCAGTACATATGAATGCTCCTTTGACTTGTTTGACCTCAAGAGAAATTCAAAGGGTAAAGAGTTATTTTTCAAATTGAATATTTTGATTAAAATTTTGGGAACTGAAGCATGAAAAAGATGTATGTTTCCTCATCGAAAACATGGCTTACTGAAATGAATTGTCTCCTGCCACATCTCTTCTGTTGATAACATTCCGAAGTTGCTTCAAGGTGCCTTGATGATTGCAGCTGTCATCCTTGTAAAGGGTTCGGTAGATCACCTCAATTGATAAAAAATAAGCTATATTGACAAATCACAATTTTTCTACATCAGAAACTTGAATATGTGAAGGCTTATAATGCAACTTACAAAAAAGGCACCTGAAGCAGGTCGTGAATATCAAGTTGCAATAAGAGTTCATTTCGGTAATCTTAGTCCTGGGCACCTAATCCACCTCAAATATATGATGTCAGGTGTACATTTATTTAAACAGTCATTCCTCACGTTCAAAGGAGTCTCCACTATGATCTACATATTTCTCATGGCGGTGAACCGAGTCTCTAAAAACATGTTCAAATCCTTTTTTGACAGTTCATTCAGCCTACGATGCATGGCTGCACAGACTTCCTCGAAAGAACCGAATCGGATCCCTCTTTGAGAGCACCAAATAAATAAAAATCGCAAGGTGATAAGTCAGGTGAATATGGAGGATGTGTTATTCTCTCATGTTAATTCTTGTAATGCCTCTTCAACAGTGTTGCAGTTGTGAACTCTGGCATTGTCCATGTGGACTTTGGGGGTATAGTTGTTCCCACGCTTCTTCCTCATGCTTTGCTTCACCTGCCTCCGCAGAAACACAAAAATTGGTGTGTGTTACATTCCCCTGAACATTTGCATGATACTAGATCTAACACTGCTTTTTGGGGAGCATGTGCATCTGTCCAGTCTATCAGTATTTCAGTTTGACCCAAATTTGAATGCATTGTCAAACCATTTTTTGCTAGATTTGGTATTTGTACATTGGGATGTAAAGCATTACACCATATGAATACCTGAGTATTTACTCTTTGAACATGCTTGATGAGAGATGCCTTGGTTGGGGGGGGAGGTGGTTAGACTGAATATTTTTTTTACGTACATTATTAATACTAATCGAACTCCCGTGCAGTGATATATCACTGCGGCGGGCAGGTGTCTCACCGTAAGCATGGTAACATCGTAATAAACAACTGCCGTGATTGGTTCTAGTCCCATGCTCAGGTCGCGTGATTGTAAAATTTAGACAATTTCATTGGTTGAATTGCGGGTATTAACTAATAAACAACACGTGCGGTAAACTTTAATCAACACAACTTTTACTCAGAATTCCTTCCGCGGGTATTTTCTCTTATATTTCATTGATTTTGGAATATTTTGACAAAATAATTATTGATGAACATAAAAGAACATATATTTTATAAGTTGTGTGAAAAACAAGTACATCTGTGACAAAAAGGGGGACTATCTTCCCCAAATTTTGGGGATTTCATAATCTGCCCGCCGCAGTGTCTATACCGAGACACTGCATAGGAGTTCGAATACTAATCTCATTTGGAAACCCATAAAGGGCACAAACAATTTTCTCAATAGCAAGTTGAGTGTCCTCTGTCACTATGTCAGTATGCCCAAGGCGAGATAATTGAGCTTGCATAGCATTATCTACTTTCGCAAGTTGAAAAATGCTTTGCTTGCCCTTCATCGAAAATGCACTTGTTGAATCACAACAACTTAGTGCATGTAAACCAAGCAAAGATTTACACAAAGGATGGCCTAACTGAGAGGCCAGAGTGGAGACATCAAGTTTTGCAGAAATACTATCCTGATGATATAAACACAGCACCTCGACATCTGTATCATTGCTTAGTAAAATAATGCTTGAATGACCATCTTTCGAGGCATGTGCTGCATGTAATTGCATACATTTATCTGCTTGTTCTTGTGAAGAGTTTAGTAGGGGGGCGGATTCAACTATAGTTGACCTAGGGGAATATTCTGAAGCCTTGAAATGGTAACACAAAGTCTCAACATTCATGTAAAGGCTCTTCCCATCAAACTATTGCCATTCAGCAAACAGAAATTGCACAAGTTTTTTCTTGTTTTTTCCAATTGCCATAAATTTTCCCAACTGCGTTGGACACTTTTGTTCTCTATCTCTTTCAATGTTTTTGATGGACACTTCAGGATAAAGATCTGTAACAAAGTTAATTCAGTGGTTTCAGTAACTTTTTTTACAAGAGGCAGATGAGAAATACAAGGGGCGGCATTCATAATAACAAATTTTACACTCCCGGCAATGCAAATTCTTGTTATCATACCGTCCACGCACCAAAAGTGGACAAATGGACAAAGGCCTGGACAGGGAATGCCTAATAAATTCACATTCTGATGTGCATTATGCTATTGCGTGTGATCACTGATCAGATGAGTTCGGTGTAATCCACTTATTATTGTTCTTTTAAAAGATGAAAGGCAAAATCTACTTCATGTCACAAAGGTGCAAGTAGGAACACTTCACCTGTGAATATATTCCAGACAATGTATCTCAAATACAAGAGTATTGTACATTCATTCAAAGTTTTGAACATTGAATCATAATGAGAGGAGATTTAAAATTTTTTACGTATTGCAGGTTTTCCAAAGTCATTTCCATGTGTGATATTGTCAATTTAATTGACCACAAGACACGGGCTACACAAAATAACACCTGGAACTGTGGAATGACTAGGGCAACCCATATATAATATAGAATGCCATTTTTACCTTTAATATTCATATAAATATAAATTATGATTTACTCTTCCACAGGTTTCATTTTACAAATTCAAATGTACTTCCCCAGTTTAACACTTAGTATAGAATGCAACCTGTGTGTATGCAATGTACGGGGCAGGGCGTTCAATAAGTACTGATAGAAATGATGTGACTTTTTGAATTTTTTATATTTTGACTATATTATGCAATAGTCACATTTCAATTTGAAACTTTTTTCGTGCAGACCTGATCAACAACTAACCACCTTTGACTCAACTCTGCAACACCATCTTATTGAAGCACATTACTGTAACTTACACAGTAGATCAGTATAATACTCAACAATGAGCAGTAGAAGAATTAGACAGATATATGAAATATAAAAAAGTTCAGTTTTCTTACATGTATCATTCTATCTTGAAAGTTTAAGGCATCTGATGACTAACTGATTCATTACAATTAGCATTGTAGACTCATCACACCAATGTCAATGAAATGTACAATTGAATTAATCAGTTTAAGTCAGCAGATACTTTAAATTTTCGATATAGTAGGTAAAAAGGTATCTGAGGAAAAAGTATCTTTGTAGAAATGAATTTAAGTTGAAGTCAGCAGATGATTTAAATTTCTTTGTAATCACTGTCACTATCACTGCTTTACCTTGGGTAATATGATCTAAACCCATAGCTACAAAGGCTGCTGCTAATTCGTTTGAGGAATCTGGACATTCGGTTGTTGAAGTTGAAACAGTTTACCTTAGCAATACAGTGTATCTCCTTGGCTTCATGCTATCAAAAAGAGTGTAAGCCTTTCTGATTACATCTTCCTTGGCCTTATCCCTTGGCCCATTGATTGTGATCATTAATAAGGCCTCTAGAATGCTATTGGTCATTATGGACCTCAAACGATTTTTCACCAATTTCATCTTGATGAAGCCTCTTTCAGGCCATGCATTGGAAACTGGCACTGAAAGTAGGCATCTTGCTATGTATGAAATGCTAGGATAAACCGTCCGCAACATTGGATGCTGAAGTCTCAAGCAGCTCCATTCACAAAAGTGCATACTTTATTCCAGGAAAACTAAGGATTTTTACAATAATGTATTTTTTCTATAAGAATGGTTACTATTATTATTATTTTGGAGAATTTAAACATTTTTCACTCATTTTTGCACTTTGAATCATTAATAACTTCGCCAATTTATAACATATTGTGAATCTTTTGGGAGATATTGTATTTTATTTTATATTGTAAGGAATAGATTTGAAGGTCAATTATACAAGCATGTTGCTTGTAAATTTGTCTCTATAGATCACATTCTGCCTATAAATACCAAAATTTGGAAGTTTAATTATTATTCAGAGGTCTTATAGCGGCCTAATGCATAGCCCAAACGAGTAAAAAAATACTACGTTGTTTACTTCAGCTTCATTCATAGATCACGTGATGTTATTATTATAATAAGATCATGTGATATTGGCGATTGCAATAAGTGAACTACACTCGCACTGACAGCCATTAAGTTTGATTTGGGTAAGAAATAAGGTAGCTGCTCATGGACTAGGGAAAGAAGGTTTACATGATTCGTTTTACCCAATTCAAGCTGCATACAGACTGTAGAGATCACAGTGATTCCAATTTGGTTCTAGTGTTTGGTTGACATTCGAATTAAAACCCTGTCATAAAATTGCCGAAGATTTATTTTGCTAACTATGGGGCGTTAAGAAAGTTGTTCTCCTTAGTATTCCATTCCTCTTTTAGATTGACATATCTAAAATACTTACAGTCAACATCATTGTGTCGAACTTTCGAAATCTTTACTCCTTTTTGCATATTCAATCACGGCAGATCGGGCAGCAGATGAAACACATTTTTATAATAGTCTCAAAGCAAAATTGTTGTCCCCTAAAAAGCGGGATTTTTAAATCGGCCAATCAGAATTAGGCCTAGCTGCTGTATTGCAATTAACTCGTAGAGGTCTCCAACAATTGCAATCTCCACGCATGCAGTGTATCACAATAGTAGATAGTATGCAACATTTGAAATCTGCACACGGAGTATGTGGAGGTACAAATCATCACAGATAAGGAAGTAAAAAATGAGATCCCAGGAATAAAATTAGGAGTCTCATGAGTCTCTAGAAGACTTTTAATCTCCTCCCCAAAACTTAACACTCGAACCATACAAGATTTTTGGCTATCATTGTTTGTATTCACACAACCAAGCAGAAAGTGAAATTCTGGTAGCTGTTTTAATACATTTGTTCCAATGATTATTTGAACATTGTGTGTGTCAGTGCAGACTTTTTTTCTAACCAAAATGCCAGTGTTTTTACGCTTATGATTATGTATTTCAATATCCAACATTGCTATTCCCAAGTATGGTACCTCATGACCATTAGCAGCAGTTATATTCAACCATGATGGGTCACCGTCGAAATTTTCACAAATCAAATCATAAAATTCTTCATTTATAATTGTAACACTTGAACCACTATCAACCAAACCTGTACAAGTTACATTGTTGATTTTTACTTGTGTTAGTGGTTTATCACCAACTGTGTTTGACAAGATATGTTCTTTTTGGTTTTCATTTGTGTGGGTGTTTGCTTCATTCACCTCTGTGCCACCCTCGACAGTAGGTGCATTTAGTTTAAATGTTGATTTGACCTTGGGAATTTATCCCGTGGTCTGGGACCTCTAGGTGGTTGATTGAAATGTTGATGTTGTGGTGGTGGTTGTGCAAACATGGGTGTAGGAACCATGTGTGGTGGTTGTACAAACATTGGTGGTTGAACCATGCGTGGTGGTTGTGAGTTGTTTTGATAACTTTGATTTTGAACCATCATTTGAGTGTGTTTTGTAATATCTAACACCTCTTTCATTATACTACACATTTCACTAATTGACTTTGTCATTGTAGCAACTGATGAAGTTAAATTCATTATACATTTTTCATTGCTATTTGGGATTTCTCGAGCCCCTGATTTAGACTCCTCAGTGATTATTGAGTATGTTACATTACTTGAATTTTCTGAGTCTACTGTTTGTATAGATTCCATATAGGATATTGCCCTTTGACGGAGATCTATGAAAGAAATTGAAGGATGAAGCTCAAGGAAACTCTTAAGTTCCCATTTGAGATGTCTGTTGTGAATACCTTCAATGTATTGTGAAACTAACATAGAATCACATGTTCTTTTTAGATCAGGTTTCAATTTTTCCATCTTATTGAATATTTTGACAAGTTCAAGTGAGTATTTTGTGATATCTTCACTTGGGTTTTGTTTTCTTGTATAAAACGATCTAGTCAACTCAGCTAATGTCGGAGTTTTGCCAAAAAATTCTCTGAGAGCATTAAAAATTTCCTTGGGAGTTTTTGGATTTCTAAGTTTTATTTCAACTTTAGCGTCTCCTGTAAGGTGACTAATGAGAAATTGAACTTTTTCTTTAGCAGAATCTCTTTGAATAGCTGATTTGGCTTGATCAATCCACTCTTCGAGTGGTGTAGATTCACCAGAGTAGTTTTTCAAACGTCTTTCAGGTGTTGGAACTACTGTGATTTCAGGTTGTGAAATTATGCTTATGATTTTTTCATTGTGCAACTGCATGAGTCTGAACAACTCTTGGGGATTAAAAAATTGTGATTCCTCAGAATCTGGCTTTTGATCACTTGAAGTTGCCATGATTTGACTGGTTTGGGTGTTGTATTTGAATGTTTAAATTGACTTAAATGTTTGTTTTGATTTATCTATTTGCACTTTTGAAACAAAACACAAATAAAATATTAAAATAGTTTCTTACCGTTAGCCATACATTAGCAACTTCAATTTTCATTCTGGAAATAGTTTTAAGCATATGTTGCTTTATATGGTTAAGTGTTAACAATAGTCTTGCTGTATAACCTTCAGCATTCAGTTTACCCTGAATGTTAAAATATGCACGGAATATCTTCGCAAACTCCCCAGGCAATATATATCCCACCCGCAGTACCATTTGTAGAATATTGGACTAGGACGTATGTCACACAAGATGTGGCGTTCATTTAAAATTGTTTTTATTTACAATAAAATCATCATCAAACACCAATGTGCAGTTGGTAACTAACTGCACATTAGTTTTAATGTTCCCGGCTTAATATAACATTCTGTTTTTTCCTGTAACTCCTGCTAGTAAAATGTTGGGACTGATTGAAATAAATCAAGGTGTTGTTGCTTTTATATTGAAAATCAAGGTTTGCACTCATGCTATAAGGGATATGTCCCTTTGGGAACTCACAAGTTATGATTGGTTTATATTATAATACAAATTATTACAAAGTTGTCATTGACTGAAAATGTGCAAATCGAACACAATGTAAACTGGGATTGGTGTATATTTTCTGCAAAACATGATTCTGTACTGGTGTTCACTCAAGCATATGAAACCTTCTATCAGCTAAAACTTGGCAATCAACACTGAGGCTTAAAGGCTATTCTTAGTGTACAGCATTATAAACTTTACATTCATTGAACCTTACTAGTTGAACATATTAAAGCCTAATGTTTGTTATAATTGAGAAGTAAAAATAGAGGTACGATATCACATTTGAAATCCACATGTAAAAATACATCTAAAAGTATGGTTTCGAAAATTGTTTATCAACTTTGAAAATTAAATATTTTTTTGAAAATGTGACTTCTAGTTCGAGTTGATTCCCCATAGACCCCATATTACAAAATCACAAAAAGTGAAATATCTTTTCTTGTATTTGACATAAAACATTTTATTTTACTGGACATACTTTTATTTGCATAACTATTTGATACATAAGGGCTATATGAAAATTGAACCACTAAAACCTATGTAATTTAAGTTAAGGGAACTTAAATATTCCTCTCTTCGGACACCTGGTATCAATTTAATAGTTCTACTGCTGGACTTCTTTCCCTTCTTCAGACATTTTTGCATTTATGAAGCTCTTTAATTGTCAGCATCTAAAGAAGTAACCCCAATTCCAAAAAGATGGGTGTCATCTTCTCTCCAAAGGAATAAGCTTGGGAAAGGATTCCTTCTGCTCCTTGGGAATTGTAAGTTGGGGAGATGGCTTAGCAAAGACCACTTTTCTTAGGGGAGTGCTGAAGTGTGTTTCACTTTTCGACAGTGTCCTGATAAGCAAAAGCAAGCATACACAGTTTCAACCAAATCCGATAAATTTAGACCTCCCCTACTGCACTGTTTGATGCCCATTTGCCACCATGTTAATGATCATCTTAAAATTGAAGAAAGTGTCATTTTGATCATGTTTGAGACCTATGTTCTACCAAAGGCACTATAGTGATTTTTATCAAAGTCACCCAAACTGCAGAACAATATGTCTTTGATTTGTGACATCATATCATGAGATGGCTTTGTTCCTTCATTTCTGAGACAATAATTGTTTTAAATGGTGATTTATTGTTTATGTATTCATTTATCTCAATTAGCTCTTTATATAGATTTGGAATGCTCTAGAATTATTTATAAAAAATCCAAGGTCAAATCCAAGAAAGATTCGGGTCTCCATATGTCTTGATCATCGAATTATGATCCCCTTTGAGAGACTTTAAATTGCCTTACACACAATAGATTTTTTCAATTTTTAGGAGGCCATAACTACATGATTAGAAATGTAGGGACCTGAGGCCTCATTATCAGTTGGTCGCTAACTATGTGCGTTGCGTCTGGGTTGAAACAGCGATCCCCAATCTTGATTCACAGTCTTGGGACAGCATGGGCAAGTAACGCTCTATCAATTTCACAAACAGTAAGGTCCTTGGGTACCAATTTTGAACAAATTAGCCGCATCTTCAAAATGTTCTGTAGGATATGATGATTCTCCCATAACTAATATTACAACTTTCCTAAAGTTCCATAATAGTAATACGGCAATTTTCATCTAGGACCATTTTGACATTGGCCACCGATTTTGGTTTTGTCACTGTAACGGGACGTCCTGATCTTGGGTTTATCACTCATTTTCAGTCTGCCCTCGGAATACCTGGCGTACCAATTGCACTCTTCTTAATAGCATCACCATAGGCTTTTTGTACTTCAGTCACTGTGTCTTTCTTTGAGATATTCCTTAATACACAAAATCTAATGGACCCTCTGATCTGGGTTAAGAGTTCTTGTCTTGAGAGCTGGTCATTTTCCTTTTCGGACTCCATTCTCTGCATTTGATCTTGATTTAATCAGATAAGCGAGTCTCTATGTAATATCCCACATTGTGTGTCATAAAATTCTAAGAAAATGAGAAACATTTTCAGAAAGAACAAAGGAACTGACTATGATGTAATAGAATAATTAAAAACTGAATTCAGAAAAGATAAATGAATGAATCTAGCACTCAGTAATTCTTAAGAAAATGTATAATTTAACAAAAAATAATTTTCTTTTCGGAGACCGAAATAAAATTGCCACGCGGGGCGTATGGGGGATGTATTGTATTGTATTATCTTTATATCCTCCTTATAAAAGAAGAGTACAAGAATAAAAATAGAATATATTATAAAAGTTATGTTTACATAAAAAATAACATATGAAAATAGAACAACAATTCAAGGAACGTTTACATAAACGAGAACATATAATATTTAAAACGCATTAATTCATAAAACTTATAAACCATATATACAGAATTTACAAGAGGTATACAGTTCAAGAGCTGGTTAACATAGTTAAGGTGTAAACGATTTCTGATATTTTATTTGCACAATGTGGTATAAAACATTCCCATGTTTCTGGTTTACAGTCTTGAAGAACATCAGTGGTCCCTCCAAGCAATGTTTCTATCAAAATATCCTCTTCTGTGTTAAGTAGCATTACTGAGCTGACAGGATCAAGAATGTTGACAATGCCATCCAGCACAGCATCCCTTAGAGCCATAACAGCATTACATTGTAATAAGGCGTGTTTAACTACATCACTTGTCTGCACTTTACATGCTTTACATACTTTACATACATGTTCTTTTTCAGTATGAAGAACAGCTAAATTCAAAAGTTGACCAAACTTCCATGTAAGCATTGGATATTTAAATCCAAGCTTCCAAAGAACTGATGTTTCATATTTTAGTTGAATGTTGCTATATCGTAATGTTTTCGGATTTGTCAAAATTGATTCTCTCCATTAAGATTCTTTTCTCATTTGAATTTGGCCAATGATAAAGGATTTCCACTTTTGTTTGGTAGGGAATGAACTTACATGTAAGAAATCATTTAGTATATCACGGAGGATGGGATATTTCGTGCAAATATGAAAAACATCAGATATAAATCCAGTGCAAAGTAAGTTGTGAGTGTTACGCAGTATATAACTGCTAAGACGTCTTGTTAGAACTTGGAATTCAATAGATTCTGG